CAACCGAGCGATTCTGTGTGATTCTGTGTGAAAACAGTTGAAGGTAAACCAAGCCAAATCGCTCATTTCAGGAGTCTGAAGTTTCAGGTTATTTGACAATGTCGAATAAACATCTCTCTACATTTGCACTGAAAGGGGCTTTTGGAGAGTTTCATAGATCTGGTTTCACATGCAGTGAATATGAAATAAAATTTTGGAAGCCAGTAGTGGGCTCATAGACCAAAAGTCTCCCAGGGACTGTTGCAAATCACATTAAGTTCCTGAGCACTAGAGTTTGTGTTCAGTCAAAGGAAGCCTGGAGACCATCTAATGAAGGTGAAGAGCTCAATTTAACCTTTTTAGGGCACACAGTAATTTAAATTCAACTCTGCTTTGTGAAGTAACTGCAGCAAATCCTTGTATGTGTATAACACGTGTCAGTGTGTGAGGTGAAGAAGCCTCGGGTGTGTTAGCAGTGTTTTCTCACATCAAACGCAGTACATCAAAAATCCCTTTCAAAAAGTGAGCAAGTTTCTTCATAAAACTTATGTCAGCTTTGGGGGTTTTAGCCTACGCGACTCCTCTTGGGAGGCTGTTCCAGAGCTGGATCGTCTGAAGGCTGGGAATTTTTTTCTGATTCTTATTATAAATTTAGTTATGGCCAGCTATTACCCATTTGATCTTAAGCTAACATTGTCCATTAGCTTAAGTAGCACTTTGCTTTCACTGATGTCTCCCTTCAGCTCTCTCTTCTTTTGGCCATTCCCAAGATGCATTTAGAGCATGACTTTGCTGGGATAAATGCATCAAACTTCTAAAGTCCCCTGTTGTGGTGTGGCTTTCCATTTTCTCGATGCCCTTTCTGTTTTCCCGTGGAAGTGACCCTCTCCAAGCACAGGAGGAGATCACCAGTGTGTCTCAGATGAGCTTTTGCCACTGCCTGCAGCCTTAGGCACACGTTTGCTGGGCAAAGAGACGTGTGGCCAAAGATGTTACCCTGCCCAGACCCATTGCTGGGGCTGCCCTCTGGGGAGTGCCCGTTCCCCGGCGGACAGATGGTCTGGGTCTTTTCAGCAGCACCTGCGCCATTTAGCTGAGCATGGCTAAACAGAGAGCCCCTGCGCTGGAGTGGTGCACGCAGTCCATGCAGCTGGTGCGGCAGCAGCACCCACCGCTGAAGGGATGGCATGGGGAGCAGAGGGCTGTCATACAGCCATTAGCTCAGGGTTTGGGGGGTGTTTTGCTTCTGAGCAGACCCCATTTGGTATGTCTCACTGTGAGGGACAAGGTGGGAGCACATGTTTCTTCAAGGGGCTGGATTCTCATCAGGTGTATATAGGTCTTCAGGCACAGGGTTTCTTTGCTTGTGTCTGTCATGAACCAATATTGAGTTGTGCATGAGTGCTGCACTAACTGTTCTTGAATTCGTGCCTGCTGCCATTGCAAAAGTCAGTTCGTTTCTTGTTATTCAGGCTCTCCATCTGTCTATCAGGAACAGGAATCACTGTTCACTTTAACATAGCACTTGATAAAATAGTGCTTTGCTAGGCAAGTCGGCATTTTACTTCAGACATGACTTTTTTTATGGCCTCTTTCCCCCACCCCCTCAAAAATTGAAATTATTACTGTGAGAGTCTCAATTTTCCTGCAGAAATAATTGAGCACACTGACATTTTAATAGGACAGATTTCAGAGTATCATAGTGCAGATCTGACAGTTGCATCTGGCCTTACATGTCGTTCTTTGCCAGCAGGGTAGTCCCTACTGTACTACCACTCTAATTAATCAGCTCAGCACTTTGTTGGGATCGTTGTGTGGGTTTCAGTTTCACAAAAGGATTTGCTGACTTGGCTTTTTAGCTAGAAAGTAACTTGACAGTGCACATGTACGAAACAGAAAATGGAAACCTAGAATTTAAACAAAAGCAGATTTAGAAACACATGCACACTACTTCAGGAGAAAAATACGTGCTATGACTGAAATCCATACAGCTATTGAAATTATTCGTTGAACTAGCTCATGAAATGTCTCCAGTTTTTAAGGTTAGACTGTACTATGGTGGGGTTTTTATTTATTATTTAGTACTACTCTTGTCTATCCTAGCCTCAGCTAATATCTGCATTGTTCTGGTTTAATTCTTTATTCATATGAGTTAGACAAGACATAAAAAGTGCGAGAAGCCATCAATCTGTGAAGCAGTCTCACACCAATTTTGTTTGCTCAGACTTTCAGTCAAGTCAGATGGCAACACCGTAAAATGCTGTCCTAATTTAAGTGCATTGTACTGTGTCTTGTGAAAGTCGTAGGACAGAGATGACAAGACATGCCTTGATGTGTGTGCTTCCTCACACGTATATATTCTTGCTGTGGTTCCTTCTCACTCAGATCAATAAACTATTTATTAGACCAGCTGAGCTGCATAGATGCAAAGGGATCACAACATATTGTGATTTGAGGATGCAGCCTCCACCCAACGGGCTTTCAGATATTGCAGTGAGTTCTTCACTGCCCAGTTGCAGGAAGGACTATATAGCGCTGAGATAAGGAGATACTGGCATTTTAAGGTCTGTTCTGGGAAAGGAGTGAACACTTGAAGTTCCCACTGATATCAAGGAGAAGTGCAGGTGCTCAGCAATTCTCTTAAGGGTCATCTTTTAAACAAATACTTTTAACAAAACCTTTTCAGTCACCTTTAAAATAGAATCTCCACTACCAGGCCCTTTCACTTCTCATTTTCCCGGTGGTTTTGCATTTCAAGGATTTGTGGAAACTGAACAAGGTGTAGGTTGCAATCAGTCCTGTCTAGAAGCAACCAAATACAACCTGGAACTGTTATGCATGCACCCTTGGGGGTGTTTTTAAGCAAATGGAATGGAAGGGACAAGGAAAATGCTGTGAGCCTTTCACACATGATTTTGTAGCATTCTCTATAAAGTTACAATAAAATAAAATGCTGTTCAAATGTAAATGGTTGTTTCCTTATTTTGTACAAGCTCTACTGAAGCAAGTGCTGCTTACAGTCTCTTCTGTTCTCTTCCCCCATACCAGTGGAGTGGAGGGGTGAGAAAGCAGCTGTGTAGGTGTTTACCTGCTGGTTGGGATGAACCCACCACACGGTATTCTGGTATCTTGAGCTTACAACATTGCTGAAAAGGAAACCTTGGGAATACAAAAGAACAGTATTAAGCTTCCCTCTTTAACTAGCATCTTCCCTTATAAACCCTTAGTTACAGTAGTACATAGCAGTTACGAAGCACTTCTCACTTCCTTAGGATTTTATAAAAAGCCTATGTCTTGCAAAAAATGTTTATGAAAATATTTTTGTGTTCTACTAAATTCCTGAGTCATACATGAAAATGGATCTTAGGCTGCTGAGTTAGTGTGTTGCAGTTAAACCTCACAAAAGTCCTGTGAATCAGATGATAATTTATTGTTTCTATCTGAGAGAGAGTGAGACTGAGGCAAACTTGTCTGCTGATTTGTGTCTTTCGGCTAGTGCCAGATAGTGACAGCCTGTTCCTGGTTGCACTCAATTTCTTGACTGTTGTTTTACCCCATATGAAGATGGAGCGACAAATGCTGTATTTGCTTTCATGGTGTGGGCAAAGCGGGAAAAGATGAAGTACGGTCTGAAGATAGTAGAGGAGTAGGATACCTTGATAAGAAATATTCATTAGATAGCACAACACTCTTAGCCTCATGTCTCCTGTCAAAACTCTTGAGTCCTGCTGTTCCGCTGGGTCATTGTTGCAGCACTGTAATAAGGAAGAAGAAAAAAATGCAGGGTGGCTGGGAAAAAAAGGCTTTAACTGGTGAAGGGATGAAGATGCCTCCTCAGCCTTAGTTTCTGGACTAAAGAGACAGGGCTTCTACTTGCCATATATAGGAGCCTGGTAGGAACAAGAGAGACCAGCAGTTTAGGGACACATGAGCCTTATCCATGTCCATTGGCACAGGGCTGCAGTGGTTTTGGTTTCCTGTTGCACTGATGGCAGACAGTGCAATAGGTCCCTGGAAGACCCTTGCCCTTAGCATGACCTCCGCGTTTGAAGCCAGGGGCTTGGGAGGGGTGTGGGCAAAAACGGCCTGCCCTGCGCCCAGCTCTGCACAGGTGGCTGGGGTTGTGACAGCTCATTCCACCTCTGCTGCCCGTTCCCAGCTTTGACTCCTTCAGTTGTGGACTCTGGTCAGACACAGTGGTACCACAGCGTGGTACATGACGTGTTTGCCCTTGGTGCCTTGGGTAATACGTGCAGCTTCCAGACTGGCTGTGCCACAGCAGAAAATATTTGCTATCCTTGGTAGCACCGAGGGCTTGGTAGTCTTCCTGTTCAAATAATGACTTGACCTTTGGGGTTTTTTTATTAATAGGTTTCAGTTGTAGGTACTGTTGTAGGCTGAACTTCTTTAACCTCTGCTATCTAAAACAAGAGCTCATAGAAACATGAGCTTGTGGGCTTGATAGCTCTTCAATCAATCTTGGCTTTCAGTAGCTGACTTTCAGGCACTCTGTCTTGCAAAATTAATGTCCTCTTCATAAAAAGTAACCTTGTGTGCATTCAGATCTGCTTGCATGCAGATACCTGAAAGCAAGTTGAAAATTACTCTGGCATTTACAGAATGTAAAGGAAAATAAATCTTAAAATAGAATACAAAATATTAACAAACATTTTCTCCACTCTTGATTTGTCAAGAGATCGTGTTCCATTAAGATGGAAGTTTCTCAAGCAGTTCAGCACCCAGGGGCTGCACTATGGAAAACCCTTCCTCTTCTCAAGGCAGATTTTACTACAGCTGAATAAACAACGCAATAGGTACACATGATGAGAGGTGTGCACCAGTGGGCAGTGAGGGGGAGGCGTTCAGGTGGGAGCTCTCCAGGGACAGCCAAACCCATGTCCTGGATGTGGTCCATGTTCACTCCTCAAAGGGGCAGGGCTGTGTTTTGCAAGTGTGCAGCTCCTCTGGCGTAAAACATCCTCCCTGTGCTGAAACTTGCTTTGTCTGCATTTTGCCTACAGTGGCTGAGAAACCCAGGCCCCCAGCATGAGAAACGGACTCTCTTTGGAGACATGGTGTGCTTCTTGTTTATCACTCCGCTGGCGACCATCTCTGGCTGGTTGTGTCTACGAGGAGCAGTGGACCATCTGCACTTTAGTAGTAGGCTAGAAGCTGTTGGCCTCATTGCACTCACTGTCGCACTCTTCACTATTTACCTCTTTTGGACCATAGTAAGTATTGGTTTTCTGTTCAACTCACAGGAATGAGGGGGGGGAAAAATAAAAAAATTAATTACACAGAGTGCTGTAGAGTGAGTGGACCACTGTACAAAGCATTGCTTATATTTAGCTTCTGCACTCATAAAGTTACTTCTGCGGGAAACCTCTTGGTTCCGCACCATTCACATTCTCTGGAAAACCAGACAGTTTGCCTTTGGGATCAGTAATTCCCAAATCCCAAACGCTAGAGGGAGTAGCAGGAGGGAGACAAGGAAGTAACATGGAGGAGTTTGAGACAGATGCTACAGGAGGAAGTTTGCTAAAGATAATGTGGCAACCTGGCTGGCACAGAGGATTCAGATTTTATTCTGATTTCCAACATCTGTCCAATTTTGCAACTCAGAAGTCTTGGGTGTGCGTGCATCCTATGCTTTCCTGCTTCCTTGTCTTTGTGGCACTGTGGGAAGTCCATGGCAGAACACACCTTGCACCCAGGTCTGTAGAAATGTAGCTGCTTTAGCAGTGCAAATTAAATCGCTGCCTTATTCCCATCCTCTGCCCAGCCAGGTGTGGTGTCACTTAATTCCTGACTCCAGCGCACCAACAGCTGGCCCAGCAGAAAGGAAGGGGACCCATAGCCATCATGTTTATTGAGCCACGGTCTAGCAGTTCACTGAAAACCGCAGGTTACTGCTGAGTTGACATTTCACAGCTCTAGCTCTGGTGGGGGAAGAATGACAGAGAGCACTCATGCTAACAGGGTTGTGCAGTGGTGCAAGGTTGTGCTTTTTGCAAGAGGAAGAGCTCATCTGAGCCTGTGCTGCCCTGAGTGGGGGCAGGACCATCCTGCCTGTGGTGCCAGCACAGCCACAGATCATGCAGGGCCAGCACCAAGCTCTGCTCTCAGAGGGCATGGCCACATGCTCTATGGCTGGCCCCTTCCAGCAGTTTTTGATCAGTGTAAGCTGCTGAGGAGGTGGCACTTTAAGACCTTCATTAGTGGAGCTAGCCCACAGCAAGAAACGTCTATGCTGAGCCCAGAGTAAGCTTGGAAGAGGGGAGATGCAGTGGGAACGAAAAAACCACCCCACATTACTTAACAGCTAGCTCTAAGGAAGCTATGAAAGATAACATCGTATTTACTTCACTCATAACAGCGAAACACTGTCTAGTCCATAGAGGACTGCAGGCCAAATTTAGCGGTGCACAACAGTAGAAAAAGCTGAGAGTTTTGCCTCAGCCTCCTGCAGTTTCTCTTTGTGTTGCTTCTGTGAAGTGGTAGCAGCAACACTCTCCTTTGTCAGGATGGCCATTTACTCCAGCAGTGAGGTGCTGCTTGTATTTCCTGCAGAACTGCGCATAGACACATGTCAGGTACTCAAGCAAAGGTCATTCAGATTTTCTTGGTGTATGACTGTCTTAGAAACCCAAATGCTGTCTAGTTTACCTGAAACACATAATTCACAAGCACCACAATGGTTAGAAGTTGAAAAGGGTAGTGTGACTAAGTAGTTGAATTTAATTGTCCATGACACGTGGACATATCTGACCTTGCTCATTAAGACTTCTGCATCGTGTCAGTTGTAGTTCCTAACACCGTCTGTTGCATTTGCACTGTAAGTGGCAGAAATCCCTTCACTGTATAACTCTGACCTCTTCAGAAGCATACAGAGAAACGTGTTATTGGCTCTTGCAGAATATGGTGATAGCAAGACCTGATATAAATGCTTGCCTTTGTTGTTTTTAGTTGAAATACAGTATCTTTATTGTCCACTGAGTTGTAGAAGATATAATTCCACTCTAATCTACTGTTCAGGCCCACAGGAGGTGGAGATGCTACAGAAGCACTGTGTTGATGAGGGAAGGGCAAGGCAGAAACCCTTTCAGGGCACAGTAGCCCTCCTGTTCAGCATGGGGTTAATTCAGGTGGCAGAGCAGAGAGATACGGTGGGAAGGACTCTCAGGCTCTCTTCACAGTACAGAAGGTGCCCTCACTGCCCTCACAGCATTGGTACTGGATGGAAAGATTTTGAGGAGGTTTAAGTATATCTGCCGATTAAGACAACAGGGCAGAGCATTCTTACACACACTTTCTCAGAGGACAGATTTGCAAAGTCAAGGTAGAGACCTAAAGCAACTGCTTTACAAATGGCACTGAGCACCCTAGGAGTGGAAGACATGCCCACTCTGCTCAGTGGCCTGAGACACATCAGTCATGCAGGAAAGCCCCAGGCTGCTTTTGCTTTGGAGAGGCTCCATGCTCCACCTGCCATGCAGCAAGGAAAGGACTCAAACGCAAAAGTCCTAACCCCATTAAGTGCTTCAGTACCACCTGCCCTTTAATTTTAGGAAATGAGAGAATCCTGTACTGCTTGCTTAGTTATGGCTATGCAGGGAATACATTGAGGGCTGTGGGGTAGACTACACACAACATGTGATATAATGCTTCTTCAGGTCCTGGGAAAATAAAGAAAACTAAGACTTCATTTTACTTTCAGTAAATCAGCTTATTTTCTCTGGAGGTTAAAAGCTGGCATATAGTTTATTTACACACCACAGTTATCCCAGTGAGTACAGAATGGGAGAGATGCTAATTTGTCCCTTTTCCTAAAACAGCCAAGTTCCCCATAAAATGCTGTTGCTTTTCCTCTGCATTTAACCACTGTAACGGATGCACAAACATGCCAGAAAGTCTGCTACTCCCAAGAAGAAAACTTCAGACACAAACCAGAGATAGCTATTTAAACTAATTCAGCGCCACAGTCTGCTTTCTCTTGCACACAGGTAATCTTGACTTCTGTAAGACCACAATCAAAGAATGCATCAGGTTGGAAGGGACTAGATAGCTCAGATAAATTCAGAGTAAGTTAGAAAGATAAACAGCCGCCTTGCTATCCTGTTGAAGAGCCGAACGAATGGGCGTAGCCTGCCAAAGGCCAACGTACACCAGGCCTTTGTTCAGCACCCAGTGCAATAGCTTGGGGTGCGTAACCATGGCTTTGCTGACATCTGCTGGCATCACTTAGAAACTGCCTGCAGGCAAGAACCCGTGGTAAACAAGCTGTCAAACTTCACTAGGCTGTCCTGTGAAAATGCCTTAAACAATCAAGCAGTTAAAGCCTGCCTTCACAATGTGGCCGTTCCTCAGAGAGCCTCATGTGATGCTACTTGAAAACTCAACCTAAACTCCAGCTCGCTCCTTGAAGCAGTCACTGCATTTTGCATGGCATTCATCTTTGCATGGGTTCCCCCCCACTCCTCTCTGTACCGTGTGATTTCTGCTGATACTGCAGTGCCTTTTGAAAAGAGATTTCACATCTTCTTTCAAGATGCAGACTGCTTCAGGGGGAGCAGAGGAGATTGAAAGGTGGGGAAGCAATTCATCTGTTGAAAGAGGTGTCTTTGGGCAACTGCTCAGTGAACAAAAGCTCTACAGGTTTCCCTCATTAACAGAGGACAGCTGTATAAAGATCTAATGAAAAACCCCAGAAGGTCTTTTTTTGTGCCTAGTAGGATTTTATGGAAAAGTAAATGATTTATTTAGTTAAAATCACCCGTCTTGCAACAGGGAGAAGTTTTTGAAGGATACATTAATAGGTATGTATATTACTTAATATCCCTCCATACCTGGCAGGCAGCCTGTCATGACTGTACGAGTAGGAAAGCAAGAAGCGCAGTCCTTTTTTGACAGCAGTGCACAGTCACTTCTCTGCAAACAGAGTCAACAGCATCTTCCACCCACCTGCACAAACCTGGTGTGTTACCTCCAGCCTTTATGGCACCCTCTTTCCCCTGATTAGCACTGAGCTATAGAAGTGGCACAAGTGCATAAAGATCAGTGGCAAATGACTGGCTGCACATGAAAACAGAATGCTTACTGCATGGGTCCCTCCAGCCCACAGTTCAAGAACATGGCAATTATCATGTGGCACATTTCACCCAAAAGGTTCCAAGTCTGATGTTCTGATTATTTCTTTTTTTAAACTGCACATCTACATCATCTTACATAGACATAACTCTTAAGACACTTGGCTGTCACTAGAATAAGCAGTAAACGATTTTTAAAAAATAAAAGGCCAAGCAATCTTGAGTATCTATAGTAGTCAGACATGTCTCTTCCACCATTAGCAAAACCACACTAAGGTTGAAAATGGTTAACAGTTAAAAAAAACACAGTTGAAGACAATCTAAATTGAGGTACATATGTTGGCAGATGGCTCACACTCATCCTGTTGCATCTCTGCAATTTTAAATTTTATGCATTCAGCAATAAAGCACTAGAAGGCACTATAGACCCTGTCAGTGTTCGCACACAGCTTAGCTAGCTGCAAGCCTTCGCCATCTAGCCAATTACGTTATTTGTCAGTTTAAATACTTGCAGCATGATGGTACCCCAAAAAGAGAGGCAGATGTCTGATTTGTTATAAAAAAAGGAGTAAGAGGTAGGCAGCGGTAGAAAGTAGGGCACAGGCTGCTTTTCTTCCCTGCTGTGGCTACCTGGAGAACAAGCCAGGTACATAGGTCTCACCTTTGCCCGCCACTTTTTGCTCATTTCTATCCCACCCAATTAGGCTGCTTATCAGCTGCTTGTCTGTCTTGAAGGCATTTCCCCCCAAAACCCCAACTGATTCCTTGGAGGACCACAGTGACTCTAAACACCGTGCATCTCTCTTCTCTCCCCAGGTATCCTTTAGGTATCACTGTAGATTATATAGCGAATGGCGTCGGACCAATCAGCGGGTGATACTCCTAATCCCAAAGTCTGCCAGTGTCCCCTCCAATCAGCAGTCCCTGCTGGGCCTGCAGTCCCTCAAAAGGAACTCCAAGGAGACAGTCGTTTGACTTGGTCAGCTGTGTGCAGGGGTCATGCACTAAAGGTGCTTTCCTCAAACTCACTGGGGTCAGACACCATCCAGAACTGAGGAGTGTGTGATTTTGATTTACAAACCCTTTGCAGAGGAATAAATCACAGCCTGAATTCAAATCATGGATGCTGCAATTATATTGTATTTGCTAAGCTGCCAAACTTAGCAGATACTGTATGGAATTCTACAAACTCCTGTTAATACTTGCATCATCAAGTGATGGAAACTTTTTCATTGTTTAAAATATTAACCTATGGTCATTAACAATGCAAAACGGGTTTTAAAAGTCCTTTATCATTTACTGTTCCTGCTGTCTTATTTATTTAGGTAGCTGGACAGTAACTAGTGCTGTTTTTTTCTTTCCTAAAGCACAGCAAAGACATTCCTTCAGTTGATTTTATTTGAAGGTACTTTATAACCAGTATTTTGGATTATTAAAAATTTTGTGTAATGAGTTCTACAGATTAGCATATTACTTAAATACTATAAAGTTATCAGAAAAATAATCTTCTCTGTTTCCTATTTGACAGGAAAATTCCAGTAGGAAAATTCTTCAGTAATAAATTTAATGTGCAAAGGAAAAAATTACACAAATTGCAGTAATCTTCCTACTAAGAAGTATTCTAGTTCGCAGCACTCAGGAAAAAATAATCGTACTTTTTCCACTCAGAAGCAACAAATTAGGCATTACATACTACACTGAAGTGCACATTCTGCTGGTATGTATTCAGACTTAGCCAATTTACTCTGCATTTACACTAAGCTGAATTTAACCCTAATTGTAAGACTTATTTTTGTAAGGAAAACTCTGCATACATAACGAATGAGATTAGATGTGGTTTAGGAAGTAGGAACTTTTCTGGCATAAAAATTAGCATTATTTTTAAAGCAGAATTTCAGCTTGACAGCAGATTTAGCGGAGCATGTGTAAACCCTGACCTCTCATTGTAGCACAGAGACTAAGGTTCTTTTAAAAACATAATACACAGCCTGCTATGGTAACCAAAAAATTTGGAGTGCAAAGACTAGATTTTATTCCTGGGTGGCATTATCTATTTCCCCTTGGGTTATGCCCAATTCATTCAGCAATTCTTCACTCTCAGAAGAGACTCATATTTATGCAGAGACACTTCTTGTACAGAACTATACAAAATTCCATTAACAGTGCTGTTAGATTTAGAAATTGATACATAGCCTCTTTAAAAAGATGAATTTTTTAGAAATGTGTGAGATGGCAATGCCAGCACTTTGTTTTCCGAACTCTGCAGGAACTGAAAACACATAGCAAGAAGGCTAATAATTTATATTTTAGATCGTTCAAAGTATTATGGGTGTTTACCATCAGGCAAGAGCTATTTTTTGGTGCTGTGTGTGCTCTATGGAAGAAAATGATTAGTACACAAACCAAACCTGTTAGCTTCTTTATTCTGTCTTTGAACCAGTCTAGCTGCAGTCATGTTATTTAACAGTATTATTTGTAACTGTCAGTTTTGTGGGGATAAAAGAATCAACTACCTATATAAAGCAAAAGCAGCCTTGTTCAGACATAAAACTAGTTTCACAGCAAGCCAAGACATGCAAGAAAATAATGAACCTACAGATCTGTACTCAGTCTGACAGTAAGGTCAGGGCTTGGTCATACGCTTGGCAATGAATACCTGGTTCTCTTCCAGAGGAAACTATACAAGATTCTGAAGACACGGATATCACAAGCTCTGTGATTGCCTGAAACTTGTAGTGCCTTTTTTTTTGTTTTTAAAACCCTCTTCCCAAAGGCAACTAAGTATCTGGATAGAAGACTGAACATGCATGTAAGCAGAGCGTTTCAGCCAGGGGTGCAGAAATAAAGCAAGTCTAGCTGGGAGAAGATGCTGCTAGTGTTTTAATGCATACACATCTGCTTTAGGTAAGCTTTCTTCAGAATTCTGTTACTAATTTTAATTCCTTGGGAGATACCCCAGAAAGTTGGCCCATGAAAGTGTTATTCTTAAGTAAGTAACATTCTTGGTTTTATTTCATGAAACAAGAAATTAGGATGAGATAGAGAATTAAATAGTAACTAGGAAAACAATTATTCAAGTCAAGCTGTAAAGTATATGCACACAGATCAGCATAGTGACTTTGCCCAGCTCATCTGTGTTAAACAAAAAATGAAATTTGAAATAAAGATAGCTTATTTAATCTGAAGGAGACATACTGAAGCAGCCAGAGAGAAAATATGGTCCAGTTTAGCACTGTATTGGTAAACTATCAGCTAGCAATAGCCTCCTATGTATTTTCTTGAGGACAAAAAATGCCAGAAAAGATCCAGTCACACACTTACCCTTTTGCAGTAAACCCACAGAGGAAAGCATACTTCATATTCTTCCTTGTTTTTCCTAAAACACAGGAAGGTGGGTGGTATTAATTCTTATTCCGACTTTCGATTCTAAAGACTTGCAGACAGAAGGCTCCTCCTGATGAGTCTAACTTTTGGGAGTAACACTTAATGTGCTAAAAGAGAGCTAACAAACTCTCCGTTTTGAATGAAGGTAAGTTTAAAAAAATAACAATTAAGCTCTTCATCTGTTATTGTTTAGGAGACCAAGTTCCATTTAAAACACAGCTAGTTAATTAAACAAGCATTTTTCTTGAAAGCAGAATTGAGTATTGCCTATTTACTGCCAAAAACTGGTTTGGAGTATTCAAAAGTATCTTTAAAAGAAAACAACAACAACCTAAAACTATTAGACAATGCAAGACCCCTGGCTTTATAAATAAGACACATAAAACAAGCAAGCCTACAGTACTGGTATACAGTATGTAATGTAACTGATGATGACACCACACTGCATACTAAGTCATTGCTGTTATTCAAATTTGCATTTCCACATAAGAAAACTTTGGAAAAGTCAAGAATTACATCTCAACAGCTGCCAAGTTTGTTAGTACTCGTGACTGCCTTCAGTTCTTAAATTTTTTACTGACAGCCTCTTACACCTCATCGTAGCAATGCTACAAAATGCTTTTTTCTCCCTTTGATGTTGAAAGGTTATAGAACTGATTGTGGTTCTTCTTCAACTACATCATAAGTGTACAAAATACTTCCCCAATAAAACTTGTTAAAATACAGACTCACTACTGGCATCCTATCTAAAATGTCCCGTAACAAACAACAGTACAGCAATGAAAGGTCCACCCTGCCTTGCAGAAATCAAAAAGCACTTCTGGGCAGCAGCATGAGAAGATGGGGAAAGAGGCAGGAGAACAGAAGCTGTTTTGTTCAATAAAGCAGAAACTTTCAAAAGTTACTATGGAACTCGCAGGGAAGAGTATGAAGTTTTAGGAGTTTGAATAGTAAGATCTCCATCTGGTGGTAGGATGTTTCATTCTAAAGATGAGCATGAAAATATTTCTACTATGTAAACATTCAAATCTAAACAGGAAATTAAATCAAATTTTATAGTGTGGTTCAATGCATTTGCTTAAGCCAGCATTACTGTCAAAAGCAGCAGTCCCCCTAAACCCCATCTATCTGCATAACCCTTGGCCATGCCCCTTCGTCAGCTTCTGCTGACACAAGGTTGAAATACCACCAGGTATTCACCAGAAAAGGGAACTTCTCCAAGATGAAAGACATGTTGAAAAGTCTTAAATTTGTCATGAGAGTAATGCTAGAAAAAAGGTCAAATCAACTTCCAAAATTCTGCCCATCCATTTAAGATACTTCCAGACCAAGAAGAAGATAACCATTTACAGCACTTCTAAATTTCTATTTATGTTATTGTGACATGCTTCAACTGCTCAGCCTGGTACTGGATGTAGTAGAAGGCAGTCCAGTAAGAACTAACATATGTGCAAACATCATGCAGAAACAGTTGTGCAACAGATTTGAATAAAGTTCTGTGGCAGGAGCACCCACCCCACTAAAGACCCAACACAAACAGTGCTAAAGTTTCTGGCCCTGGAGGCGCCAGGACTGCCTCTCCCCTCACAGCTCATGTCTGGTCCACACAGTGGGGGTCAAAGGCGGGAAAGTTGGGGTCCTCAGCCAGTAGGGGCTGACACAACCATGGATTGACCGCAGAGCAGATTCAACCAGGGTATCAATGGGGCCCTCCCTGTCGGAGGACTCATTGGAGTCGGTCCTCCTCGGAGCAGCGGGTCTGCAGTCGAGGACTCTCCCCTTGAGTTGGGACGCCACCTAAGGTAACTTCTCGAGATTGAGAGCCCTCCCTTTTTGGTGAGTGAGTGAGTGCACATTTTGGATCGTTTGGCCAAAAACTTAAGAATTCTTTACTCAGCCGTGTCTGGTAATATTCCCAACCAGCACATCGAACCTGTATTTGTTAAATGTCAGTGGAATGTTGTCTTGGTGAATGAAGTTTTGTCTGCTTCATTTCAGTTGCAGATTAAAGCTTGTTTGAGTTCATTATTTGTGTGTGTGTAGCCATTTTGGTGCGATTCCGTGACAAGTTCTGAAGAATTTCTTTCAAACATGAAGTTAGGTTACCCATTATTTATAAGAAATCTTTATAAGTTAATTGCCACTGTTCCATTTAGATGGACGTTTCACCAGCTTCAAAGCCTATCAATCAGTTTCAAGTATTCAACACTCATTCAGCTTTTAGCTCAGTTCCAGGAAGAAAAATTCCAAAAGCTTTACTTGAAAACATTCTAAACAGAGATACTTTATTCAGACTTTTTCAGACATTAATGCAGAAAAAACAGAAAAAGATGCCACATTGACAAAATTACAATTGTTTTTCATACAAACGTAGATTAGACCTCTAAAAGACAGACTTAATTTTGTTACTAAAAAAGGTAAACAAGCAAGACAATCCATATTAAAACAGCCTATTTGTTAAAAAATAACGTAAGAAAATTTAAGCTGGTTATACTACCTTAAAAACACAACTAACATGTTTAACATGAATCCTCCTCTAAAATAAGAACTCTAAATAAAGGAAAAGAGTCCTAATGAGGAGTTTTACTGCA